TTTTTTTTTTTGGTATTTTTGTTTCAAGTGGTTCAAAGCCAATCGGGCTCGAATGACCAGAAAATGTTGCCGATATTTACAAAGTGGACTGTAACTATGGAGTGACGTTGATTACACCGAGACAATGGAAACACAAGTTCACTGCTTGGCTGATAATACGGAACTGAATTTATTGTAACAGACTAGAAAGGGAGAAATAAACAGAGTACTTCATATAAAGGACAGTGATGTTAAAATGGAACATTTAATGGGGATAAAACGTTGAATAATGCATAAGTTTAGACATATCATAAAACCAGAACACTTGTACATATACACTTTTGACTCAAGGGCGTTAAAATGTCTTGGAAACACCGCATATAGGTAGATTTTCAAGTTTTTTGCGGCAAAAAATATTTTATTGCCTCTATCTACTCAAAATTGTTTAACAAACGTAAAATTGAAATAATTTGTATTACAGATAGGTTATATTAATAAAATATATATATTAGCCAATAATTTACTATTTAAATATATTGACTACCTTTATTTATAAAATGTGTGTACACTATCATTGGTTAATTAGTTTTCGCTTTCAGAATCTTCGCTGGTCTCAAACTATTCCTTTGTCACATCTTTGACAACGGATTTAGAGGGTATTAGCACCTTTATTGTGTCTGGGGAAACGATTTGATATTTTTTTCTTTTTTTGGTCATGAACCGAAATACTGCTTAAAACCGAGTCCGAGCTCATCAACAGCCGGTTATATATGTCACGGTTACATACTACACGAGAAAACTTCCGGGAATAATTTTCTCGGTAGTGTTTGTTGTGGGCCTCTTGAGCCTCCCCAATAATTGTCCTATTGTTAATAAGGAATTAGTATCTTGTGCATTGTGGGTGTCATAGGATGCCATGCCGTCGTCGATTCGCCACTTCTCGCTCGCTATGTTTGAGTCCGGTCGCTTAACGAAAAATTTTGCATGTGAAAGCAACAACAAAGTTAGCTAGCACAGATAGACGATAGCAAGTTTGGTTGTACCTCATTGAGTTCGTTCGTTTAGCGACCGGACTCAAACATAGCGAGCGAGAAGTGGCGAATCGACGACGGCAT